CAAAACAGACGTGGCCCTTAGACTCATCACCTTATCAATGTAATAACTCAATAAATGGCAGCCATTACAGCTACATGTACTAAACTTTGTGAAGGAAGGCATCATGTTTTGTCTTATCTATCATTACTTCTCCAGTTTCTGAGATCATATCTCAGAACATAGTAGGCGCTCAATAATTTTTGAACAAGTTGATAAATGGATAAATAAAGCAGGAGAATGTGAAAGTATCTCTGACTGGGCCTGATGAATGAAATATTTCTTCCAAGATAACCACCCGTCCCAGTTTGACTGAGACTGAGGGCTCTCCATTGGGTATAGGACTTTCAATGCTAAAACAAAAAAAAAAGTGCCAGAAACACCAAGCTGTGTTGGTCATCAGTTCAAGTTCATGGCCCTCATACAATAAGGAGTTCCTCTGACTCTCCCTTACCCCAACCCTTTTGTATCCATAATGGATCTTCTAGGCTGGTTTTTCCATTCTGCTTCTAAAGGAATTGGAATGTTTCCAGTTCTGTACTAGACTCCTCAAATAGTAGACTCTACACCTTGAAACATTATATATTTCTTTAATAAGAATTTTCAATGTTGCTGAGGTTAGTGAAAACTGCTAATGCCTGTTTTAAGTCATTAGTTACTCATCATCATTTTCAACTTCACTCAAACTCCCCATTTATTTACCCAAGTCTGCCAAGTTATACATAATTCATGCAGAAATCCTCATTATTACCAAAATCAAATCACTTTAGTGATGCCAATTAGAAGATGAGAAATAAGTTAATTCATTCAACAAAGGAATTTTTGTGCTTCTTGGCTTTCTGTCTTTGAGCCACCCCCAAATAACTCTTTCATTGCTTCTGTAGAACAGATTTTCTCTTCCACTCTGAAGCTCTGAGAGATACAAGTGGGAAAAAGAGAAAGGCATGTCTTAACACAGGAATGCATTTCAACCTTCATTGGTCTATTGCTCCTGAAACTGAAACTTAGTGTTCATATAAATGATGGATTACTCCTAAAATGATCCAAACCAAGGAGACTAAAAATGTAGTCCATTTCTTTGTTTTGTTTCAAGGCATGGGGTAATGAGGTACTTAGCTTTGGCTAATATTTTGGTTTTCTGATTCCTTGCCCATTGTCCTTTCTAGTCAGCATCTCCATAATGTAATACCTCTATATGTATATATATATATACATATATATATATGTAAAGGAGTTCTGGTAGCGTAATGGTTACTAATTGGGCTGCAAACCTCAGGGTCAGCAGTTCAAAACTACCAGCTGTTCCATGGGAGAAAGATAAGGCTTTCTGTTCCCATAAAGATTTACAGCCTCAGAAACCCTGTCTGTACAGGGTCGCTATGAGTCTGAACCGACTCCACAGCCACAATCACCACCACCGCCCCTCTGTTTTGGAGTCTTGGTGTAATGCTCTGTGCTAATCCAACAGACTGCAAAATTGTTTGAACTACATGTCGGTGGTCCAAGTTCACCAGCTGAACCACTCCTTGGAAACCCTATCCAGGGTCTCTATGGGTGAGAATTGACTTGATGGCACTTGACAACAATATATATAGGTAAACTAGTTTCAGTTTTGTCTGTTTGTTCTTAAAGAATATTTCAACTAGGCCTATTTTATAAGAACCTCAAAAAAATACGCACATGGGAGCATGTGTTCAGCTTTTCATTGGTGCTGACTAGTTGCACTTACATTTACAATTGCTGAATTTGAAGACCGTTTAAAAAAGAAGGAAACTGACTTTTTGTCAGGTCTTAAATATACACCCTCCTCTCACAGCATATTTTTGTGATTTCTTCCAAGACATACACAGGTAGTCCCCAGGTTACAACAGGGTTCCATTTTGAGAATTCTGTCATAAGTTGGTTCTGATGTCAGCTGAATACCTCTTTCGTTTTTTCGTTGTTTTTTTTTCATTGCTTTTGCCATTTATTATCAGTATCTTTACAAATCCAATCTTTGAATAAACATCTGAGAATAAAGACATCAGCAAATTATGCACTACAACATTGTATGTAGTACATATTACTAACAATAAAATATACATACAAAAAAACCACAGACAGTTCTTTATAATTCAAATATGTCATAAGTCAGAGACTATCTGTACTGTACTACTAACCTATCATTGGGGTCTCTCACCTACAATGTTTCGGACACAGACCAATGGTTTTTCTCACCATTCAGAAATCGGATGATCCATTCTCCTTTGGGGGTCCCCTTACCCATCACAGACTTTCATAGGATCTAAATGACCCTGAGCTACTTCCCTCTCATAAGTGACCTACATCTTGTCTCCATAAAACAGTCAACACACCCTCTGCTCCAAAAACTAAAAGTTATTTGCTTTCAAGTCAACTCTGACACATGGTGACCCTATTTGTATTTAAACAGAACTGTGCTACATAGGGATTTCAATGGCTGGTTTTTGAGAAGTAGATCACTAACCTTCCTTCTGAGGCTTCTCTTAAGCAGACCCAAACCTCTAACCTTCCAGTTAGCAGCTGGGCACAATTAACCATAGTCCAAATTAACTCCTCTTCACAGTCTGAGCTGTATTCCAGTCAAGTTTTTCACACCGATTTTTCAAGGATGAATATGATACCAGTCCATTGCTTGTCTGAAGCCTAGGGGTCACAGTTTAAGCTCTTTTGGAGTCCTATTAAACTCCATATTCTCTATGAAAGAAGAGCCCACTGTGGTGCTTGCTCTTGGTGCTTACCTACCATCCTTTCACTTGGTGAGTGTGCTCCTCTCCCCATAGCTTTGGTGGCTGCTTACCACTCACAGTTGCTCCTCTTCACCAGTAAATTGCTTATAATAAAACAGGTCATGCGTCTTACCCTCCTCTTCAGGTCTGCCAGCAGCCAGTAACTGATTGAATAGGTTATTGACTAGACCTCTTGCTTCAACATGCAGCAACTCTGATACAGTTCATACTCCAGAGCTTTCTGTGGGACCAAACTAAGGCTAGTGAAGAGCTGAGGCCACATCCTTGCTTCGCTCCTTTCCATCCTCTCCTGTTTCCCTCATTTTCCAGCTCCTGAGAATGCAACTTCAATAAATCATTTGCTAATCTCAGGGACCATTTCTTAAAAATCCAGGCTAAGACATAATCCATCACCCAGAGAAGCAGGTTGGGAGACAGAAAATTACAACATACTAACAGCTCTCCTGAAAAACTTCTTCTAAATTACCCTTGGGCCACATTCACACATGTATGCCCTCAGAAGTGGCAAAGAAAACCAAATGATATTTACCATCTCCTGGTGTGGCACTATGGGATAAAGCACTGGACCATGAGGTCAGTTTGAACCGCAATGTCAGTAGTTCGAGGTCACCAGCCATTCCTTGGACCCTATACAGGGTCGCTGTGAGTCAGAACTGAACTCAACAGCACTTAATATCAACATGTAAGTCTAGAGGAGCATAGTGGCTCCATACAATAAGCACTAGACTGTGAACCACAGGTCTGTGATTCAAGCCCTCGAGCTGCCCATAAGAAAAAAATGAGCCTTTCTTCTCCCTCGAAGATTTAAAGTCTCTGAAACCCTATAGAGGTTGAAATCAAGTCAAGGACACTTAACAACATGCACATTTAGGACTCCTAATGTAGGATAAACACTGGACTGTGAATCACAAGGCTGGTGGTTCAAACAAACCAGCTGCTCCTCAAAAACCCCATCCAGGGTTGCTATAAGTCAGAACTAACTTGATGGCACTTAAAAACAGCAACTACAACATGTAAGTTTAGGAGTCCTGGTGTAGCACTGTGGAATACGTACTGGACTGCTAACTGTAAGGTTGGTGGTTCAAACACACCAGCTGCTCCTCAGAAACCTATACAGTGTCACTATGAGCCGGAACCTACTTAAAGACACTTAACAATAACAACAGCAAGTCTAAGGATCCCTGTTAGCAGGCTAATCATTGGGTTGCTAACTGAAAGGTTCAAACCTACCAGCTGATCATCAGGGCAAAGATAAGGCTTTCTGCTCCCATAAAGATTTACAGCCTTGGAAACATAATACAGAGTATATATGAGTTGGAATCAACTAGATAGTGCACAAAAAACAAGAAACATGTCTAAGGAGTACTGATGGTGTAACAGGGTAATTGTTGGGCTGCTAACCGAAAGATCAGAGGTTCGAGCCCACCAGCTACTCAGTGGGAGACCGATGAAGCAATCTGCTCCCATGAGGGTTCACAGCCTCGGAAACTTTATGGAACAGTTCTACTCTGCCCTACAGGGTTGCTATAAATTGGAATACACTCAACAGCAGTGAGTGGTGGAGGATGATGTCATTCTAGCGTAGGTAGTCTTACTTGGAGATATTTGCCTCCATTTACTTGGAGTCAGATTTGAAATAGTTCCCTTTGACTTTCTGATATTATATAGGGCACATATAAAGTATATGATAGAAGCCTACTGAATGATAGCTATTATTTGATTCCTTAAAAGAATCTATTGAGGGCTCATTGCATGCCACAGGCTAGGTAGGCTCTGTGGTAAGCATTCTCTCATTCTGTCCTCATAGGGATGCTTTAGGGACACAGTGTTATTACTCTCATTTATATTCCTCATTCAGAAAACTGCATCTCAGAAGCCATGCTATGCCTGGGCCAAGTTCCAAACCCAGCACTGCCTACACAACACCATGATTCCTCACCCTGAAACTGCTCTCCTGTTTCCAGTTGGTGCTTCTAAGGAGCTCTGGTAGCATAGTGGTTACGAATCGGACTGTGAACCTCAAGGTCAGCAGTTCGAAACTACCAGCTGCTCCGTGGGAGAAAGATGAGGTGTTCTGCTCCTGTAAAGATTTTCAGCCTCGGAGACCCTGTACAGGGTCACTATGAGTTGGAACCGATTCCACAGCACATAACTACAACAACAACAACATGGCTTCAGTCAGCAGTCATATGAGTTCTAGGTTCTAGCTCCTTCTGGGTGACACTAAAGTCTTTCATTTTCTTCTTCGGCATTCAGATCTGTGTGACTTCTGAAGAAGAACAAGACGGCTTTATCAGAGTTCTCAGTGGAAAGAAGAGAGGCCTCATCCCCTTCGATGTCCTAGAGAACATCTGACTGTCGGCCCCTTCTTGTGCAGTAGGCAAGCTCCTCCAGTGATGCTGTCTGCCTCATCTCACACTGTGTCAGCCCCAAGGAGTTGTCCCACTGACCCAGCCACCCAGGAAACAGTGGAACAAGACTGGTGGAACTGAGACTATGGAGTAACAGCAACAAAAGAGAGAGTCCATCAAGGGTGAGGGGAGTCTGCCAGCAGAGCCGAGTTCCACACCTGGCAACAGCTGCAGGGTTGCAACCCACGGCTGTCCCCCAGAGCTCACCTCCCTCCCTGTCCATGTGGAGTGACCCACTGGAGTGTGCCCTGGTATACAGTGTGGCCTCAACAGGAGGTTCCGATTCATGCAGCCAAGTGTGGTTCTGGTTCTATACCATCATGCCCGGTACCAATCAGTCAACAGCATTACATTTCAGACCCTGAGCAGTCTCTCTGCAGAGCATTTAGACAGCCTGCTTTACCTAGCCCCCAGAATTCCAGGGCACCCCAGACCTCACTGACTTTGCAACTGTTCTGTTTAGAATGGCTGGTCCTTTATATCTGGCTTCCAAGTAAATCTTGGTGGTCTGCATTGGATGGGAGGGCTAAGTGCACATGGCACCAAATGGGAGGACCTGATCTGCCCTATTATTGCTCACAGCAGCCCTTCCCACTGCTCTAATAACCAACAGAGTTGACAGAGTAGACTGTGAGGCAGCATGGATGCAACCAAGTATTCATAGATAGAAGACCTGGAAGGGGCAAGCGGGGATAAGGTGGACAGAGTCTTTATTTGTTGAATTTTATAAGGTCTTTTCAGGTATTTTCTCTCTTTCAACACACAAAGGCTATGGAGCTTCATGCATAAAGGAAAAGTAACTGGGAAAGAGAATGTGGCCAAAGTCTCACTGGTGAGCTCCATTTCCATTCTACAACCTCTGCATTTGGGCAGTATTTTCCCCTCCTGCCACTCTGTACAGGATTCCTTGTTAGAGGCTGTGTCCACCTTGCAAGGCACTAGGAACACAGAGCAGAACCATCATAGAAGAAATGTAGCCAAATTGGATTCCATTCTTCTCTAGGGCAGTATGTTATGCCCTAGCAGATGTAAAATGGAAAAGAAACCTTAATGCTTCAAGCAGAGGGACTTGGGGCTGTTAAGCAACAACTAGGGGAATCTCTATTACTCTGTACTTGTACTAATGTTTACAAGAATACTATATACTGTGATGCCTTCCTCCATGAGCCTCTTCCTTGCATCTTATTAATCATTAATCTGGTTAAATTTCAATTCACAATGACCATGGGATCAATGTCAGATTGATTTGTTTTGATTTGTAATGATTTGTTACAGAGCAATAAAATCATTAGCATAATCGGTTTTTAAAAAGACCTAAATAAATCTATCCTGTGCATGTATGCATTCTTTTTCAAACCAAAGCATCATGAGACTTCATTTACTTCTTTTGCTAATGCTCAGTGGAAGGTAGGAATTGAGACAGGCAGGCTGCTGGTTTCGTAGTTGTTGGGATGCCTTACTCTCATTTTAAAGCTCGCAAACAGAATGGCCTCCCTTTCTGTGCTACACCATGTAACGCTGAATGTAAAGAGTCACAATAGGCCCTTTGAGATTCGGGTTGGATGATATGACTGGGTTTCTATACAACTGAATGCTAGAATACAAACTCCATTTGCCTCAAACTCAATATTCCACTGAATAAAGACAGCACAGTGGCTAGAAGGAGCATAGGATGTAACATGTGTCCTGATCTCGTCTCTCTTGTGGGACAGTCACTGAAGTGTTGGGTAGAGTGGAATCATGTCAGTTGCACATTTACTTTACATAAATTCAATTTTACATGTTCAGCAAATAGAAAATTTCCTTTATTTACTCCCAACTGGAGAAATATAATTAAAAAACAAAATCTTCTACCAACCCAGAAAATCTCTCCACAAAAACCTAAGAGCAAGAAAAGCTTAATGTTGAGTAAGCGTTAAATCAGTATGTGACGTGTACCACAGACAATCCAGTAACAGGTTTTCAAAGACAAAAAGCTATCTTAGCCTTTATAGAGCAGTGTGGAATGCAACCAATTATTCATGTTTTCAAGATAAAAATTACTAATTTTCTACTGTCCTTGTAACAGAATACCTTGTGTTATGCTAATCTCCTTCCAGAAAACTGGGATATAGGAGGATCACCTGGAGTTATATTTTAAAGACATGATGGTCAGTTAACCCCTTAGTTTATATACGTTTCAAAGAGACAAGGAAAGAATTTATAATCCAGTTATCTAAAATGAATTCTGCTGGATAAACACTGGATTGTAAACCACAAGGTCAGTGGTTCAAGCCCACCATCCACTCCACAGGAAAAAAAAATGAGGCGTTCTACTCCTGCAAAGATTTCTAGATTCAGAAACCCTATACAGAGTCGTTATGAGTCCAAACTGATTCAACGGCACTTAATGATAGCAACAAAGTAAATTAGGAAAGAACTAAGAAGGAAGCAAGCTCTTCCCTTAATTTCAATAGGGAGAAATAAAACATATTGTTTCTGTTTGAATTTGTCCTTACATCCCTTCTATCTTTTCCAATGCCAAACAAAGTGGGGACCACAGTCATAAAGCAAAAAGAAATAGAATAAATTAATTACTGGCTTTTGAACTTCCAAAGGCCCAAGCCCTAAATTATAAAGGGTAACTTAGAGGCTTTTCTAAGAAGTTTCTTGTAGAAATTATTTTGCCTTACCTGCAATCTTTTGATCTGAGGCCAAACTATGATAGAACTCAGTTGTTTTCCTGTTGTCAGGCTCTCTTCTGGCTTCCCATCTTTTATACACGACTCTCAACCAGGTAACTCAGAACCAAGTAACTTTCACTGAAGAAACAAGAAAGCAAAAAAGTGAATTAGAGGTACTGAAAATCTGTTCTAGAAAAGAAAAAAGGAGATAAGGGTGAGAAAGGATATGTAAGAGAAGATATGGTTTCTAAACAGAAGAGTCAAGACCCCCACACGACCCAGTGTCAGCTAATAGAATGGCCACTCCACAGGGACAACTTTTCCAGTCATGTGATAGAGTAACAAAACCCACGGTTACTCATCTCTAAAGAGCACTTCATAAAAAGTGGAATCTGCTATAGAATTCTAGAGTATGAAGAAAACAGAGCCATCACATAAATGCTAGGCTAGGAGGACCTTGGGACCACCTCACAGATCTCTGGGGAGAAAAGAAGGACAAGATGATCACCAAAGCCATTTCAGTTCTGAGATTTCACCCTTCTAAGATGTAGGTGGCTGCATACAACAATTACTGGACTGCCGGCAGTTCAAGCCCACCAGCCACTCCACAGGAGAAAAATGAGGCCTTCTGCTTGTGCAAAGATGTACAGCCTCAGAACACCTATACAGGTCACTATAAGTTGTAACTGACCCAAAAGCACTTAACAACAGGATGTAGGTTTTTACCATCTAAGTCTAAATCCTTGCAGATAAGCAAAATGGCAATGTTTGGATGCACATGGAGTTACTTGGAAGTAATAGTTTTAAATAGAACAATTAAAGTTCGGGGGAAACTTGTTTTGATGCTTCATTCCACCCAACAATTTTTTTTTTTTTTCGTGTTTAATCCCACTCCTGTTTTCATCCATGGAAATCCTTAGGTGGTACAAACAATTAAACACTTGACTATTAACAAAGAGTTTGGTCATTTGAACCCACCCTGAGGTACCTCAGAAGATACGCCTGGTTTTCTGCCTTCAAAACGCTGTGGAGCAGTTTGTTTTACTTTGCACAAAAGGGGCGGCCATGAATTTGTATGAACTCAAGGGTAACCAACAATAACATCTCTAGCCACAGACATGCTGTTCTGTGCAGCTGAGGAGATTCGGACTCATAGTAACCCAACATGACAGGGTAGAACGGCCCCAGAGTGCTTTCTAGACTGTAATCTTTATGGGAACCAATTGACAGGTCATTTTTCCTGCAGAGCAATTGGTGGGTTCAAACCAGCAACCTTTTAGCTAGAAGCTGAGCACTTAACCAACTGCACCACCAGGGCCCCTATCCACAAGCATACCTACTGTGTAAATTTCCATACAATTTTGTTTTCCTTTATGTATATATTCACATAGATAAGAATTTATTTTTACATGAATGGAATCATATACTTCATGCATTGTTCTATAATTTGTTGTTGTTAGAGGGGCAGGGTATAAAAGAGGCTTACTTCATTAAATGTCTTTGAATTCTTCAAGTAATTTGAATATGTCTTTATTCATTATAGTCATCACTCTGGTGTTTCATAGTATAGGTTTTATAGCACAATATTTCTTGTTTAATAATCCTCATCCCATCATCTCTTTCACATTACTTTGTTTGTTCTATTACTTCTGTGTTTATCGTTCTGCCATTATCATATTTTTGTTAAGTGCCATTGAGTCAATTCCAACCCATAATGACCCTATATAGGGTTTCTGAGGAGTGGCTGTTGAGCTTGAACCACCAACCTTGCAGTTCAAACTGACTTTGCAGTCCAGTACATTAGTGCACAGTGCCACACCAGGACTCCGCCATTATAACACAACATCTAAAAAACAAAGAACATATATGAGCATACCTCATTTTATTGCACTTCCCTTGATTGAACTTCTCGGATATAGCATTTTTTTACAAATACAAGATGTGTGGCAACCCTGCATCCATCAAGTTTATCAGCACCATTTTCCCAATAGAATGTGTCTGTGTCCCATTTGGCAATTCTCACAGTATTTCAAACTTTACATTATTATATTGCACACTTAATAGATTACAGTACATTGTACACATAACTTTTATATGCACTTCTTGTTGTTGTCAAATGCCGTCGAGTCGACTCCAACCCATAGCGACCCTGCATAGGTTTTCCAAGGAGCAGCTGGTGAGCTTGAACTGCCGACCTTGCAGTTCAAATGGCTTTGCAGTCTGGCACATTAACCCACCGCACCACACCAGGACTCCTTATATATGTACTAGGAAACCAAAT